TCTTTACCTATGAAAAGCCTGTTTTCCTAATTAGGCTTAGATTTCACCCTGTGCTCCTGGGAGTGGCAGAACTACAGATTACAAGAGTTGTGGTCTCTTTTCTTTTGACCTGGACGCCACAATATCCCTTCTCCCTSCTTAGTGGCAGCAGTCTGCCTACTCAGGATGACACAGCATGGCACATTACTGATGAATAAAGGAAAGAAAACCACGAAGTTTAGAATTTAAAGCTCAGAATATCTTTCTTGTATAGAATAATGTCAGCTCAGTGAACTAAAGCCCATCAGGCAGCAGACTGCCTTGGGCTTGCTGTGCTCAGAATTGCAGACAGAAATGTTTTGGTCCATCCCTTCTGAGAGTGTCACAAGAAGAGCTGGTCACAGCATTTTAAAAAAGCAATGAGGTAGATGACAGATYCTAGACAAATTACAGCAAACAGATAGGAGCAGTGAACAGCACGAGGATAAATGCACTTTGTCAGCAGTATTACAGGAAATGGAAGTTGGTGACATTTACTCTTGCTATGTCCTAAATACAAAGGTAGCACAAAATTGCCCCAGTGAGAGACCAGATCTTTGGACTCATCCTGGGTACCTCATTCATAATATGCTGCTTATTTATTTTTGGAGGAAAAGCTTTCCTGCTGGGTAGACTCTGCTCTCCTGTGAGCATCTGAATAAGGAGGCAGGTGTGACAAAGGCAGACACATCACAAAGTGTTCAGACAAGAATTGCTGAAGGTGAGGAAGCAGCAGTAATTTATTATCACAAGCTTTTTCCTTTATAATAATCAGAAATCAAAGGGCTCTGAAAACCAGTGAAGGAACAAAAATGATGCCCTCCAACAGTTTTCTYCTTCAAGGTCTATTGTCTTTTTTGTCTTCATAACACAGGTCTCTACTGTGTAAAAATCAGAGGTTCTTGGCTGCAATTTTGATGCCTTTACACTGAGTCCCTGTGTGACTTTGAAGTGTGCATCAACTGAACACATACATACAAATAAATTCCCATACATATGCTTGAGTGCATTTCCACAGGTGTATTAATCTGGTTTTATTTGGATATCTAGTCACTTCAAACAGCTGTGGATAGAGAGGTTCTGAGGTGACCATTAAATGCCCATCTACATCATGGAACCTTTCCCAGACTGAGTGATCATTTAAAATTTAGAAAATTTTGTTAATTATAAACCAAGATAACAAGCAATTAATAAATGCAAGATGTACTCTCCTAATTTATTTTAACAAGTGTTTAATTTAAATTATTTATGATTTTTTTCATATCCTTCTAGTAAATACTATGTAATGAAGTTTGCAAATGAAAACAAGTCTATTAACACTGACCTTACTCTAGTATTCTGTTATTACAGCTTTGCTCAGCAGTCAGGAGTAATATACTTCAGGGCAAATGAGAAAATGCACAAATTAGATTCTACTGTATAAAAATYGATTTATCATGCATATGTCACAGCCTGGCGATACAGCTATAAGATTAATAACCATAACATTAATTTATAATTTCCAGTTCCCAGTATAACAATAATTGTGTAGTCATCCCAGATTTTTATTTTGATTTGCTGGTTTGATCACATCCATTTTTCAACCAGGGTCAGGCCCATATATATTCTCTGTTATACATCATGGAATATCTTGAGGCAGAGGAATGAAATATTTTCTAAAATATTGACCTGTCCTACTCTCCCTTTAAATATTATTTTAAAAATCTGCAAGCTAAACAAGTGAGTTCTATCATCTACTATACCCACAAAAACCAAGTATAGCCTATTATTTCTAAATGATGAAATACTTCAATATTACACTTCAAAAAGCTCAGAATGATTGAAGGACTGCTGTGGAAAGTATTATGAGAATAAAATTATTTTGCAATTACATTACTTACTAGCTACAGGGAAGTACTGATGTCTAGCGTTAATCCTTTGAAGTTCATTTAGAAGGAATGAACAGAGAAAACACAATATGCAAGGAAAATGAAGATGAATATAGGCATAAATGTCTAATGGAACAAGTTAATTTTTGAGGCATGTCAGCTGAATTCAGAGACTTCAGAGTAGGGGTGTGTTCCACTGAATGCGGTGGTGCAACTGTGCAGAGAGCTGAGGCTCTCTGGATTCTCACAGCTGCTTTTGAGGACAGGCACACTTGAAATTAAACCCAGGTCCTGCACTGAGACAGACCAAGGACAAAGCAAAAAGGCTGGAAAAGACTGGAAATAATGGAGTGTGGATTAAGAGCTGAGTGTGTTCTGAAGGATGAGTGAGCTCTTCCTGYGCTCCCTGTGCCTTCTACAACAAGTGAAGGTGTTTTGGGCATGGCCCACCTGTGTGGGGTCTGCACACAACAACAACTGCATTTTGCACAGATTTCCTGAGTGTGGGTATGGGAAATCACAGCTGGACCAAAGGCAGCTGAAAATTTCTTAACCAACAGAGCATTTCTCYTGCTGAACTGGGAGTTTAAAATAATATTTTGAAAGGATGGAAGTTGGAACTATTTCAGAGGAAACTGAGACAAGAAAAAGGCAACATCAAAACTGGTTAAGCCAGACAACTAAAGGGTAATGTCAGCACAGTACTAATAATGTAAATGCATTTATAAAACACAGCTTTGAACTTCTGTAGCCACAAGAAAGGCTCCATGATTTTTTCCATAGTAACAGCTTCTGAGAAAAACCTGTTACAGAAACTAAGTGACAAAGATTCAACTGATTAAACTTTCAGGATTAAACTTTGCCTTCTCACAGCAGTGTAATTAAACAATTTCCACCTGAAACTCAGAAGCCCTGAAAAAATAACCATGAAAAAAATGCTAGTGACAGACCTAAAAGAGCTTGATACTTTTTATTGGAATATATGTGCTGGTGAAGTAATTATCTTTCCTCCATCAGTTCCTTTTTTGACAAGAATTAGCTAAATTTCCCAACAATTTTCTATATTCTCCCTTAAGTTGAAACTTTCCTTTGGTTCCATTCTCTTCCTCTGTCTCTGTCCATTTCAAATTCCTTACCATGGCTACCAGCACCATCTGTGGTGTTCAATAATTAAGTCTTTTATTTCAGATATTTTATATATTACAGCAGAAAAGACCAATGAAACACTCTTCAGGGTAACTATCAGGAGAGCCTGTGCTGTCCATCATCACGTTTGCTGTATGCAAAARAGACACATGCCAATTATTTTTGTCTGGACATACAGTCTGTTCTGTTGCCTGAGAAATGGAAATTACCTTTGGTGCAGCACCTGAGGCTCTGAAAGATAATAGGGTTTCCTTTAAAAATCTGCTTTTGGTGTGTAATGTATAATCAATTGTTCAGTTGCTGAAACATAGCATCCTTGTGCTCTGTGAGGAATGCATTTTAAAACAGTCCTCACTTGGAAGTCATTGGATTAGGAAAGCAGTACCTCAGTAGGAGCAAGTGATCAATGATCATCCTTCTTTGCTTCCATTTTTGTGTAGTATTCATGCCACATTTTTAACAACTTGTTGAGTCTAACCCCAGGCAGCAGCTTAGACTCCCACAGCTGCTTTTCCCTCCCTCCATCCTCGCTGGTGGGATGAGGGGGAGAATGACAATGGGAAGAGTGAGAAACCTCCTTCCTCCAGCTTTAATTGCTAYGGAATGGGTCAGTTGGGATCAGCTGTCCTCGCTGTATCTCTTCACAACTTCTTGTGCACCCTCAGCCCTGTTTTGGTGGGGTGGGTGAGGAGCAGAAAATCCCTTGGCTCTGTGTAAGTGCTTTTCAGTGATACCTGRAATATCCCTGAATTATCAACACTACTACAGTGAGAATTAATGCTACCCTTGCCCAAACCAGAACAGAGCTGTTAGGAGACAAAATGGACTTTTATTCCACCTGGTATCTGATTTTCTCATRTAATGAAATACCACTTTTGTTCAGTTCATGTGCCTCTGTTTTTATTCACTGGCCTGAAGAATTTGGCAGTAAACAGGATGCAAAGCTGTATAATTAGTAAGGCAAAGATGCCAGAAGGTGCAGATGTTAATACCCATTCAGAAATAGTTTGATTGTGTGGCTGATATTAAAAAAGTAACATGCTGGCTCCAGAGAACTCAGTAAAAATATAACTGTTAATTTCAAAAGGCTTTGAACAATTTTGAAAATAAATCAGCATGGGCTGCATTGCCACGCCATTAAGCATTTTTCTTCTCCTGATTTTCCCTGACATTAATTAGAGCACTAGATTTCAGGGGTGACAGCCTTGAGARCATTAAAACAATCAAGGTCATACAAACTTTGTACTTCTGAATCACACTATACAATAGRTTGCCGTGGAGGTAAACTAGATCCATTTACAATTTTTGCCTMAACTTCTGTGCACACTTTAATGGATGCCCTAGGTATGTAATTGACTGATTGTGCAATTTCTTTCCTGGCATTAATGAAAAAACAATCAGACCACACATCTTTCTACCTGTCACTGGGACACAGCTGTGTCTCTGCTCTTGCTAAAGATGTTCCTGTAGGTGCACTGAGCAAGATGACCTTTCATTTGTCTAAGTACGGAGGTGGATGCAACCCACTGGCCTTGCTCTCTGTTTATTATTGATAATTATTCTCAATTATTGATAATTGAGAAAAACGAGAAGGGCCCATGACATGCAGTGTGCAGAGGAGCACAGGGTCTCTGGTAATAATGGCACTGCCTATTAGTTTCCTTGTCCTTACTGCTATCTGTGGTCCCATAGCTGGCCAGAAAATAGGGGGATTAGCAGTGGGACTAATAGGGATGGGGAATGTAGGGAACAAGGACTGAGCACTTGAGCCTGATCTGTTATGTCTTTGTGTGGAAGAACTATTCAATGTCACTACAGATTTGTTCTTAATGAYGAAACATTCTTCAATATAGCAACAGCCTTTTAGAAGCTTTACATGTGATATCATGCCTAAAATAGACTATGCATTTTACCCACAATAGAGGCATTTTATAAAACTGCTTTTATTCAGTTAAATGCAACACTTACCTGTAAGCCCAGCGGCTTCTGCTGATAAGAAAGCACTCCAGGATAGGAGGAAAAACAGACCTGTCTCCAACATKGGAAACTCACACAGCTTTGTGAATTTTGTCAAGTGCTAAAAGATTACTAAGGAAAAATAAAAACCCAACTGTTTTGTAAGCTAAAATTACCCCCAACCTGATAAAGGGTGAAAGAWAGCAGGCAAGCAATCTCCCCCACCATACTCATCTATACAAATTGAATTTAGGAAAAACTGCACAGTTTTTAACTTATCTCAAGGAGGAAAAATCCAGAACAGGTTTCAAAGTCAGCTATTTTAAGTACTTTTATGGAGTTTGAATTAATACCTAGTCGGTTGCATTTGATATTCTTTTTTTTCCCAGAAAAAAGAAAAAGGAAGAAATTTTGTCCAGTTTTATAAACAAGCTGGCATTTGTTTACATTTGCTTGAATGCAAGAAAGATCAAAATCACTGATCTTTCCACAGTAGCATTTTATATGAACTGTAAAACACAAGAAAAAAATGCAGGGCAACAGACAGACCTTTAATTTCTCGCTTAGTTAAACTGGTGAACTTGTTGGTCACACTGAGATGGTGTAGTGTTTCCCTTGTATTTTTATATAATTGCTGCTAGCCAGAGTTCATAAATAAGTTGCTGCATTCAATAAATTCATGTTTTAGCCTCAAAATACTTCAAAACACTTGGCTTAAATACAATTATTTGCAAATAAGAAGATAAAGGCCAGAGTCTTGCCTAATGTTAAACATAAAAAAAGACATTTATGGATTCTGACAAATAACGTCTTCTGTCAATTTATGGTTTGTCTGTTTGTTTGCAAAGACWTGAGCCCAGAGTGAAAAGCTTCAGGCCCAAACTAAAGATGGTCACTCTCAGATATTTCATGCTTTTTCCAACAWATCTAGATTTGCTCCCTGAAAACAAACTATAAAGGATATTAAAGCTGTGATGACACCATAAGAGGATCCCATGGCAAATGATCCAGCAAAGATTCCCAGAAAATTTCCCACTGACTGGAARAAAGCGGCAGCATCAAAAGCATTAGGATTCACCTTAGGACTGTAAATGGATATTGAGCTGAAAAGAAAACAAAGGGAGGGGGGGGGAGAGAGAAAAAGGAATAAAAAACTCAATCACATTGTAACAGTTCTGGAATATTATTTGAAAATAAGCAGTTTTAGGCACTGAAAATGTAAACAGGGCTTCTCTGGGCTAATAGCAGATGAGAACAAAGCTGCTGGAGACTGGGAGGAACCGATTTATTTTCAAGATATCACACTGGAAATAGTCTACTGCCAGTCAGTAACACTTTGATACTGGAAGTGCCATAAACAATATGGTTTCCAGGCCAACAAAACAATAGAAGATAGGTGTATAGGAAAACTGCAGGGAAGATAGATAACTTTGAATTATTTATTGGCCATATGTCCTCAGAGCAGTTACATATTCAGAAATATCCTTGATAAAAAGTGCAGCTTTRTGGCTGAGGTGACACAAATAGATGACACAAATCACAGCAGGTACAGCAWTTTTGTCACAAACCACCAAGTAATTCCCTTCTTGGTGTAACCCTCCATAACCAGAGCTGGAGCCACAGCAAGAGCTCATTGAGAGGAAAGTTTGTGCACAGAATGAATGGTGTACACAGAAAGAAACTGCTGCAGCTGTTAAAGGTCTTAGATTGCTGATCGGTATTTCAAGAATTAAAAATTTAGGATTTTTAAAAAGTTGTATTTTAAGCTTTTGCATCTTAAGAATGTGATCCTTGTGGTCTGATGTTTTTAATTTTGGAGATAAGGCATAGAAGACATAAGACATTGAAGTTCTGCATGAAGGATTTTATAAACAGTTGCACTGAAATAACATGAAAAGGTGAAAACAGTTCTCATGCTTTCAGTCTGCAAAAATGGTGCAAGGATTCTCAAGGCATGTGGTGGAGCACCACTAAATATGAGGGCTGAGTGCTCATGTACTACAACAGAARTAACTAAGCACTAAAATCTGTTATCTCCAATTAAGCTGATTAACACTGCCACAAAAACAGTGAGGATGACTTTTTACTAAGTATGTTAATCTTAAGGCAAGAAAAGTTGTCTTTGTTAAGACTGGTTAGGATTACAGTTTGCCCTCAAGTTTACCAACAGGTTTCAGGTATGAAGAAAACTAGAAGCAAAAATCCTATTCTTGATGTGGTTATTTCAGGAACAAATATGAAGTGACTCATTCTCACTGTGATATTTTTCTACTCAGTATGCSCCCCATGATTTTGTACAAGCACCATAACACAAAATATGCTCATTCTGCTAACTGTGGTTTCTGGTCTACATCTTTCCAAAACTCCTGTTTCCCTGCAGCTCAAGGAATATCTACTTTTCATTTTGCATTATTGTGTAGTAGAGCTATTTATTTTTCTGCATATGTTGCTTTTTAGCACTAACTTTTAATCCTTTCACGCATCCAAAATACACACTAATTTACCTGACAGTTTTTTCTATGTAAGCTGCAATTTAACAGAACAGGATTTTATTCCAGTACTTCCTGCCAAACCAATTATTTGACCTAAAAACAAAATAGCAAAGTTTAACRCTGGAGAGAACCATAATTAAAATTATAGTGCCTCTGCTCTTCTTCCTTTTCCTTGGAGAGCAATTCAAGAGGCCTGCTGGCATGACTTGTCCTCTCTGCTAACTGCTCTCTGTGCTCTCTGTACAAAAGGGGTTGATTGCAGTTCATTAATAAGCAGTGTGGGAGAGTTTGATACTTAATTTCAAACGGTATTTAGTTTTTAGAGGCTTTCTAAACGCTGAACTAGTTTCAGAAAAAAAAAAAAAGGGTTTATTTCTGTAAATTGGTATTGGAGGTGGATTAGGGGAGTCCTCAAAGTAAATGCAGTGGAAGACTTTTCTGAGACTGATAAATGAACAGATTTAATGGCAAAGGCCTGTTTTATCTGTCACTCATAATGAGAAAGAGAGGAGGGATAGGAATGAAAGATTTTTGTTGGCTTCTTGGTGAATGCTCAATGTGTTTATCTCACAAATGCCTGCCCCAGTCCCTTCTACCTTTCTATATGTAACCTTGGTAACCTCTACCTCTCCTTCTGGTTGCAATTTATATTAGTTTATATTTTGTTTCCAGCTCTTCTGTGTGTCTTTGACCATYGGACCATTTTCAAAACAACACTGGACAGGGTGAAGTGCTTTCACAGCTTTCAAAAATGGAAATACAGGCAATATTTATTTGTACTATATATTGCAAGTTAGGGTGGTAACTTCTGCTTGAAGCAAATAGAAGGATTAAGTTAGTGTCAGTTGTACCACATTAACCATTCCACTGCTGTCTCCTCATGTGTTAAGATCACTTTTGGATAAAAGCTCAGCATGATGAACACTTTCWTTCTACACACTTTATAGGATTCTACATGACAGAAGGGCTACTGCCACAGCAAATATCCAGCCACTAGTTGTATCCATTTCTAGTTGTATCTTAACTGATAACTTTTTACATCTTCTGTTATTCTTAAGCAAAATCTCATTTATTCATAAGATCTTTTTCTTCCTGTTAGTTTTTCCTGTCTGTGAATACAGCATAATGTGTTTTCCTCAGAAAAAAAGGAAATAAAATAGAAAGCACTTAGCACTGCAACAGAGATTTTCCAGTAATTCATGCAAGATTTTTAAGCAAAAAATCTGTTGTTGAGGTTAAATCTTGTATCCTACTTTTGTTCCTGATTCCAGAGAGTTAATGTGGCAGCGTCAAATAAAGTCACATTAATCAGCTTTGACTAGCAGATAAGCATAAAGATTCTTTGGTTTGATATAAGCCAAAGTGATGCAACACCTGTATCAGATGAATTTTAGARAAAAGCATTATGCTGAAGAAAATACACTCAAGCATCAGAAGGAAAATGTGTGCAAACAGCAGAAAATTTCTAATGGAGTTATTTAGAATCATTTATGAGAAATAACCAGTAAACAGACTGTTTATTCCTTTCCTCCARCATGGAGATAAACAGCTTTGGASTGCTTTGGAAAGATTTCTTTCCACTTGCTAAGCCAAAAGGCTTCCTTTAGTCAAGTGGCCTTCTTCCYCCTTGCCACTTCATCATATGCCATGGAATACCACACAGRAAAGWATCAAGAGCAATGTAAAGAAAATWWAAAAAAAATACCTGAAAATACAGGAAGGCCAGATGTTCCTTAAAATACCTTCATTGAATAAAGTGRGATCTCCCTCAGGTGATTAATTATAGAACTACCTGGTGATTTCATCAGCTGCTAATTAAGAAAAATAAAACAGGCCAGAAGAAGGTATTCTAGGGTTCAAGGTTGTTTTTAAGAGGGAAAGAAGGTTATTCTTCCTGAGATTATAATTGTATGGGAAAATTTAGGTCACTGAAGTGTCTTAGAAAACTTGGATCTTTCAGAGGAGTGGATTGAACCACACAATTTCTGTTCCCACATAGCTTGTTGACTATATCCTTTCCCTAAAAATGTGTGGGAAGAAAGCCAAAAAGTCAGAATTGTAATTTACCCACACATTGTGTTTGAACTGGAAGCTGAAGTGAAAGCCCATGCATGGYTCCAGACACCTACACCTTCTCTTGGCAAGCCTGAGGTTGGCAGAGCCTTCTAAGGTTTCCTCACAAAATATCTSACACAGGAAGAGCAAGTAAATGGACTATAAAGATAAAAACCAGTGAGAAAGGTTGGGATGTGACTATGCTGAACCAACAACAYGTATGAAGCAGAGAATGTTTGCAGGATATTAAGGCAAGCAGAGACACATGAGAGCAAGAAAACCTAAGGACCAGCAGAAGAAGCCAATTTTAACAGTTTTGAAACAAATACATGGAGATCTTGTGGATAAAAATTTCAAACARCAAACAAACTTATTGTATTTTTCAGCTGTGTTAAAACAATGATCAGTGCATTAAGAGAATTCTTTTGTTCAGAYTTCTGTATAAAGAAATCTGTCTCCTTGGAATTTATTCTTGACAATATTTGTAAATTTTTAGATTTTTAATGTTCTTGAAAGAGAGACTTCACAGAAGTAKAGATATTAAGCTTTCTGTTCACATAGAGCTTTATATAAGAGCTGAAAAAA